ACACACGCATTTCGGCCTCTTGCTCTTTTCACTTTCATCATAAGAAATAAAGCAAATTTTTAAGAGAGAAAAAATACATTCTTATTTATTTCAGTTTCAGTTAAGTTAAATTTCAACATATAACTCCAATACAACACTTATATCGTAACCATATGTATTTAAGTACAGTTACTTGACTAAATTGAGCTGCTTAAAGTTGTTTCAACAATAGTAATTATGTCTTTGTGTGTGCTTTTGCTGCTCCCTTTTTAGTATTTGTATAAAGTCTCGGTGAACTTTGCTTGATATTCAAAACAAAAAAAAATATTTTTTTACAATTTAGGTACAAATTTGCAAACACTGCTACGGTGCACTTGATTTTATTAGAGACGCGTCATAATACAAATGTCTATATAAAGGGCAAATAACACCACTTGAAATATATATGTGTACATATAAAAACAGTTATTCACATAAAAGGTAAATAATACGATTGTACATACATATAAGTACATAGATCGGTATCTAAATAGTTAGCTTAAAATTAGTTTGTTTGTATGTAGGTACATGAGACATTAAATATATTTGGCAACTCTCATTAAAATCGGTGTTTGTTTGTGTCTGTGTGTGTAAGTACAAATGTATTGCATTTGTAGTGCAAATATTTGATAGAAAAAATAGTTATATATTTTAATAAGTGGAAATATATATCAAATGGACTCTCAACTTCACTTCTTACAAACCTCTATAATCAAGATCAAGGAATAAATGTTAAAGTGTTTCTAGCAAGTTCTTTCAAACAGCTTCTGTAGCTTTCATCAGTTTAGACTCTCCGCCTTACAGCGTGAACGTCGATAGTGCAATAGCCTATTAGATCTCTCACAACTTTTGAGTACAAAAACTAGATTTCTTACGAACGGATTTGGGCCAAAAGTATCTTGCTGCAGCGAATCCCAGCTATCTACAAGTAGAGCACACGAGGAATATGAAACTCCGATCCGTTCCTATTCTAATAATAGTGGGACTATGATGCGTTTTCTTGCTAGCACATTGCTTTATTAGTTACCTGCGCTGCCGCTGTGGCCTAACATTCCAAATGGTTCGATGCCATTGAACTTCTCAACTAGCCTTAAACGCACTTTTGATATTTACTCAAATTACAAAGAATCCCACAAAAAAAAGTTATATATTACTTTAGCTCAAATTCAACCATGGTTTTTCATAGAAGTCCTATGCATATATTTCAATGTTTTTGGACATTCATAAATCACAACAACTTCGGGGCACCGAACAACAAATAAAAAGTCTCCATTCAAGAATTTAGTCTCCATCGTTCGATTTATATCGCAGCTGGTGGTGCGATATCGGCGGTTACAACAAATGCGCAATTTCTTGATAAGAAAATGACGTGTAACAAATTTCAAATAGATATTTCATCTCCGGGACTAGTTCGAATATACGTGGAGCGAACACGTCTCCAGTCTGCTGAAAAAGTTTCTATTCCCAACCATGCAGAATAGCAATTACCTGTCTGAAGAACTCGGCAGAACATTTTGCCGGCCAAGCTTTTCAAATGCGGCGGCGAAGAACTGATAAGGTGTATGTATCAGCTTTGTAGAATATGTTCGGACGAAAGCATGCCCGACGATTGGAGTTTAAGTGTGTTCTGCCCAATCCACAAAAAGGAAAGCCCCACAGCTTTCACCAACTAACGTGGGATAAGTCTCCTCAAAATCGCATACAAGGGTCTATCGAACATACTGTGTGAAGGATTGAAGCCTACCACCGACAAACTGATTGAACAATATCAGTGTGGCTTTAGATCTGGCAAATCAACAACCAACCAGATATTTACCATGCGCCAAATCTTGGAAAAGATCCGTCAAAAGAGAATCGACACACGCCATCTCCCCGTCGATTTCAAAGGTGCTTTCGACAGCATGAAGAGAGCTACTTTTATGCCGCTATATATAAATTTGGTATCATCGCAAAACTAATACGGCTGTGTAAGCTGACATTTAGTAATACCAAAACCTCCGTCTGGATCAGGAAAGATCTCTCCGAACCGTTCGATACCAAACAAGGCGATTCCATATTGTATTCAATCTACCGTTGAAGCAAATAGTTAGAGAAGCGAAGCAAATGCGTCTACTAGTCAGCGAGGGCAAGACGAAATATGTCAGTCACAGCAATCCAGACTTGGCTCCCATGTCACTGTTGACAGTCATGAATTTGAAATCTTAGATAATTTCGTCTACTTTGAAATCCATTACAGAATAGGTGCCAATAGGTGCTACTTCGGACTGAGTAGGCAATTATTGAGACTCTCTTGACAAACAAAAACCAAATTCTACAAGTCACTCATCATCCCCGTCCTTCTATATTATGCCGAGGCACGATGACAAATCTTATTGGTCGACCTTACGAGTTTTTGATAAAAAGGTTCTGCGGAAGATTTATGTTTCTTAGAGCTTTGAGATGACATTAAATAGTTTAGGGAATTAAGAGACAACGGCTACACTGGTTAGGTCATGTCGTCTGACTTTTTGAGCTGTGGCTTTTTGAGTGGTGTTCCTTTCGAAACTCGGTAACAACAGAAGCCAATAACTATTAGTTTTGTTTTTTGGTACATGTTAACCGACTTTATAAGTATACTGAATATTTTATATATGCAAATACGCGTGTATAAAAGTTCTGTGCAAAAATAATGTACAATTTTACTTTGGTTTTTATTTCAGGAGCTTTAGTGAGAAGATTTCTGTTATCATTTTAAATTGAAATTATATTAAAGAGTCTAACTACATGTATATATAAGTTTTGCTTAAAAAATTTGTAAAGTGATACATAGAAGACACATATACATCGGTAGATTTATAAATTCTTCAGTTTTGTGATATGGAAATTACCGATTCAAATATAATCGGTTTGCAATATAACGATATATATAAAAAGTTTGTTTTTTATAATGTTGCCATTCTCTAGTTGAGGAGTCATCTCCAATGAGCGTAAAATAAAAACTTATTTTTATTTTAAACTTAAAACTTAAATAAAATGCCTAAATATTAGCTGTCACGTAGCTGTTCTAATAATGTTACTCGATGTCGCCTTAAACTTTGGTAGGAATTCAACAACTCGTCATAAACATATTGTATATCGTCACCGAAAATTCCAAATAATGCAACATCACTTTCATAAGTTTACAGGCGAAGAAAAAACATTATTATAAAATCTACACTTTTTAAAACAAAAATTGAGTTTTACTTATGAAACGGTTATTATGTATTGGATATACACTGGTTGTATCTGATAGCGGTAGCTGAATATTTTTTATCCTATATGTATTTAATATGATGTATTGAATCGTAAACAATAAAAAATCGATTTCGAGTTTTTCATTAATACCTTGTTTTGCATTTCAGGTGACGATATACAGACACTACAAATTATTCAAAAAAGTTGTTCAATTAAATTATTGTGTCACTCAAAAAAATGTCCTTTAAAAATAGTATTTTTATTTTCTTTCTATTTTGAAATTTTCTTTCAGTTTTTGCTTAACTTTCGCTCTGTTACTAGGTATACTAAGTATATATAAATATTTCCGGAAGTGCGTACATAATTTTATAATATTATTATTTGTAATAATTTGTTTTCTTCGTGTTTAAATTTTTCTAGATTTTGGGGTTTTAAACTTTCTACTTCAATAAAATTGTTCGAATATTTATTAAATTCTACTTTGATTGTTAGTGGTTCACATTCTAATTGATATTCAGTATACATACTCAGCATTTCAGATGCTTCTCTTCTGCTCTTTTAACTAGTCACTAGATATACAGTAGAGGTTTTTCTTGTGTTTGTTGGTGTAAGGAATGATTTGTGGTTATTATTTGTTTTTTAATTGTATTCTTTTGCTATTAGCATTGAGCTAAACAAATATTTTTCTGTAATATCACTTGAAAAAAAAAATAATTTTTTTGTTGATGACTTACGGGATATAAAAAAAGTAAAATATTTTGAAATTGAAAACTTTAGTTTAATTTGATTTTAACAATTAATCAAATAGTTAATTAAATTAATTTAT